ATATATATATATATATATATATTTTATATCAATTTTAATTTTTAATACATAAAAATAGATTATTATTTAATAATGAAAACTCGCTTAAATGTTATTGGTATTTGTGAATTTGAACATATAATAAAACTGTTATCTTGTTTCTAAATAATTCTAAACAGTTCTAAGACGTTGAATAAAGTGGGTCAATCAAAGCTTGTTTTATATCATAAATATAAGTATTATTGTACCTTAACTGTGACTTTCTTTCCATTATCGTCCTTAGTCTCTATTTCCTTTTCAACCAGGAAGTAATCATCTAAACTCAATATTCTCGGCGCAGAACCACCTTGCTCGACTTCTTTATCCTGCACAGCAGAAAAGTATCTTTGTACATTTGTAGAATGTATATGATACATATGGATATTGGCATCAAATATTCAAAGCATGTAATATGTTAAAGTAAAAAATATATTAATATTTATATTTCACACACAAATAATAATTTACTGATGTTTGTTAATACACGTAGTAATATATTTAAGCATTTATTACGAATGTACCTTGATAAGTTTAGCCACGAAAGACTTGCCGCTTCCGGGAGGTCCTCTGAGAATGATAGCTATTTTTGGTGGTCTGTTCTGGCGACCTGGTGGGCACAATAAGTCATCGACCATCGTATAATTTGGCATTTTTGCCAATTCCAGGGTTTTCGTAGTTGACTCCACATTTTTCTTTGTGTCTGGAGGAAGGCTATAACAAATATATTGTCTCTCAGTAAAATAAAAAATGTAACTTATAAATAATTACACTTATATACAATTATAGTAGATTGATCGAAAAAAACACTCGTTCTTTTGTTTCTATAATAGACAAAAAAACGAATAGACTCTGATCAACCTTGTATAATAAAAAAAAAGTAATTTTTGTAATAATAAGCGTAGAATAAGTAATGCAAATAAATATATTTGCTATTGTAGAAATCTTTCTCAGTAATTATGCAGTTATACGCACGTAAGACAAATTGAAAGAAATATTTCGCAAACAATAGCACTCATTAAATATTCATAGGTAATTGTACAATTCGCTTTAAAAGAGTGTGTACTCACAAATGTATCAAACATTAAAAGAAAATTATTCCATACAAACAAATCGGTACATATGTAAAATGGCATATTGTATACCATATATATAAGCAGTAAAAATTCAGTGAAGACATTTATTTTTAAAAATTCGATTTATCAGACATAAAATGTAATCATATTGCGATCAATACTGTATAGATAAAAATTACGAATATCTTACAGTAAATAAATTAATTGAGATGGTCGTCGTGATATGACGTGTTAAGAACATTTTGATAAAAGCAATGGTAAAAACTTGTAAATATCATTTATATATCCTAAAGCAAAGGATGCATTTCTGTGCATCAAAGGATGAGATATTCATTATAAATGGCAAATGCCATAAGTGAAAAATATCATAAATATCCTCTCTTTATTTCTAGAGAGTAAACAATTGGAAATATCAAATATATTGTAAACAGATCATTGTGAACTGCGCCGTAAAAAATTCAATTTTTCGGAGATACAAATATAAGAAATTTATTGCGATTGATATTAGAATTATGACTAGACATAGAGTTATAACTGCCCTACAGTAGGTAATACAATTTTTAAAAATTATGGAGAATAAAATGGTATATTGCATGTTGTTGAAAGCAATAATGAAAATTTGACACAAATATTTGTTTCAAGTAAATTCATTTTTATAGTAGCATGTCTTGTAGCCTTGTCCATCAAACGGGGAAGACTTTTACACATGCAAAAAAAGTATTAAACTATATTTTGTATATAGTATATATATATATATATATTCTCTGTAAATTAGGAAAATTAATTGGCAAACTTGTGTGATAAATCTTGTTGATTATATGCGTAGTATTTAATAGCTACGCATAATTAATATATTAATCGGACTGACTGTAACACAGATATATTAAATTTGATATATCTGTTATGTCAGTATTACAATTCATAAAGTATTTTGCTAACATTCGAGAAAATACACGAAATAATTATTATTCGGTTATTTAAATCCGAATAAGCAGATATTCGTGTTAATAAATCATAAAACAGCACAGAACATAAAATAGATTATACATTTCTTAGCACATCTTCAAAATTATATAAATTTCTTTTCAAACTTCGACAAATATACCGTAAATCGTGTTGCAGCAAATGCACAATTGCATATGCGCAATATTTATATCATAAAATATAATTAACAGACCCATCAAGTTTCATCCATTGTCGAGTTAGATTTTTGGATTATTTCAAATAATTTTATTGTAAATGTACGAACATAAACAAAAATACCATTAACAAATAAAGAGACCAAGATGCCGTGTCCAACCAAAAAAATTGGAATTTAGGATTTATGGAGAATAATTTTTGTTTTATGAAAATTTCACAATTTCTGTGATATTCAATTAAATTTTACGATAGGACTAATTCCTCTGTTACGTTGTACAATAACAGATAATATATAACAAATATATATTGTCCTATATAAAATTTAATAATTTTCAACGTAACATTCATAAGCTCTTCCTATAAAGTTTAAAACTTTTTTTTAATATATTGATTTTGCAATATTAGTCCTCCTGTAATTCCCTAAAGTAGAAGGCGTAAGTGCCTTAATATTTTATATTTTTGTAAGAGTTTCTGGACATATTTTTTGCGGAGATTCGGATCAAATATAAATGTACCACAGTTAAAGATATTTATGCATCATGCCAAAAAAATGCATGACTAACATATTAATTACAAGATCGCAAGTAAAAACTATATTTTTATAACTAATTAATGTTTTGCTTTACGAGCAATCTGTTATATTTATTTCTTAATTTAATCTTTAATACATATCAAACATAGATATATATTAAATTGTCAGTCACAGTCGTGAATCATGATGCATCTAATCTAAAGATAAACGTAATCTAACTTATTAGGACATTAATCAAATAATTATTCGTAAAATGATCCCAACAAAAATATGTTCAAAAAAAAATATCATTTTCTAAAAGCAATATTGTATTTTTTATTATTAAAAAACTTCATATTTTTTAAATTTTGTACTTCTCACATAATATCAAATCTGTTAGTAATTTAAATTTATCCATGACAATAGATATGTAATGTAAATATTTTGTACATAAAATTTCACCAAAGATATCCCCTCTCATGAAAATATATGTTTACTGATATTATTATTTGTACTAAGATTATTAATTTTTACTTAAATTCTCTATTTAATATCCTTCAAGTTGATGAAGAATATTCCATTTTCATCTAAATAATTAAATGTAGACTAAAACTTCTGCAAACTGAAAAAGTAATAACATACCTGGTCTCTTGTAGCTTTATATCTACGATGTTTTTGTTTGCATTCTCCTGCCAGTTAACATTTCCTTTCAATCTAAAGAAAACGTCACATATTCAGAACACATATATATAAACTTCGTTTAATATAATATTTGCCATTTTTTATATCTATTACAAAATATTAAATAAAATATTTTTACTATCATATAATACCTATTATCATCTTTGTCAATATCTTTATTCATTTCCTTTCGAAAACTATCACGTGTTTCTTGAACCCGCTCTATATCTGAAAAATAATAAACAATTAGATATAGCCCATGTAAGCTGTTCGCCCCTTAATATTTCAACGTAATTTACAATTTACAGACAGTATTACATGGTGGAACTGAATCAACGTTTTTCAAACTTTACAAGCGTATTCTATATCTCGATTATAAATGACATTCTTTTATTAATTACAATTAATAATAAAATAAACTAATAAACTTTTTTGGCCAAACGCTTTAAAAACTGTTTATATTATATTGCAGTAAATCTTCGATAATGCTTAATCCATTTTCATAAATAAAAAGATTTAAATTTTATATGAACCAATCTTAGTTTCGTATTTTTGAGCTATAAAGTCAGATAAAAAAAAATGTTATACTGTAATTCGTCAATTCGCTGACTGCTAGGTTTTTTCATTGTTTCCAATTTAATCAGAAATTAAAGCTGTATATAACTATCAAGATGTGTTCACATCAGAAAGACTGTAAAATATCAAAGTAAAAATAAATAACATCAAGAATAAAATTATTCCAGTATTGCCAAATAAAAAATTAGCATTAGTTAATAAATAATTAGTTTAAATATACTATACATATATAAACTAACTATTAACTAACTAATTGGTAACTAATTAATTAAATAAAAATTATAAACTTTTATAATTCGTTTAAAATTAGAGTTATCTGAAATTCTATTGTTATTTGAAACAAAAACAATTATTCCTGAGATAAATATTATGTTAAGTTACCTTTATGAATGTTTCTATCATTTTGATATCGGTCGTTCTGATCATAATCAATATTTCGTTCAAAAATTCGAGATTCTGATTCAGGATTATATCCTTTTTCTTTATAATCATCGTTCTCTTTCTTCTCTCCATCGGTTCTCTTATCATTATTCGACTGCCAATCATATTCCTTTCGTTTATTATAGTCCACTGATTTGCGCATATCGAAATTCATCCCGTAATTCCGCGTTTTTCTGGCATATCCCTTCGTATTCTCGTAGTTACTCATCTTGTCAGTGTATTCCTTCAAATTCTGCTCGTTCTCCACCCAATTTCTAAAATCTCTCTTCGGATAACGATGCTGTTCGCGATCCAATGTCGGTTTTACCTTCCCGTGACCGTAGTCAAAACACTGGACTGTTGACAGTTGCTGATCTATAACCGGAGGACGAGACGCGTGCCCGTAATCGATCACCTTTGTCGGAGTGAAATTAAGTGAGTCAATGAATTTCTTATCACCTTCGCCGTGATTATAATTAAACTGTCTCTGCACGCAAAATTCTTGATCATTCTTCGAACGTTTCATGAGTAAATTAGAGGTATACTTCGATTGGAGGTCAGAACCACCCGCGGATTCGTCATATCGAGCTTTATAATCACTCATTTTTGGTTCAATCGTGGCTCTTTCCGTTCTAGACTTCTCGTCGAATGTGTTTGAAATATTTCTGTCGACGTTATGCTGCTCTGCATCGGGTCTCTGAATCGGATTGCCGAACTTGTCCCTCCAAGTATCGTTGGGTCCATATCCTGGACGAGGTGCAGCCTCTAATTCTTTTTTATTGAGATCAGGTGTACGTCTAACGTATTCACTGACGTTCTCTTTCCGCACTTCTACATCGATATTCCTATTGTATTCATCAGCCGGTTTTGAGCCTTCAAACCTGGCCCTCTTAGCGAAAGCATTATCTTCAAACTGTCCTTTTCTAACGTAGGGGTTTCTACGCATGTAATCGCCGCGATTGAGCGAAGAATCGCTCGGAGGAAAATTCACATTAGCTGAATCGTTCACTGGACCTTTTGTTTTGAACTCCGACAATCCAAAGGATTCGTTATTAGAATCTCGAGACTCAAGTTGGCTTTCGTTAAAATTCTTCGGATTACGAAGCAAAGCATCATTCGAACTGCAAGAACCGAGTAAAGCAGATTCATTAGGACCACGAGGACCAGCCAGACCTTCATTGGGTTGAGGACCAAGACTTTTTTCGTCAGAAAAATTAAAAGGTCTATTATTATCGAAAGATCTCTTATCAAACGGTGCGTCATTTGCTTTACCAAACTTATTGGACCCCATAGTGCTGAATTGCAAATCGGAAGGACCTCTGGTACCGAAAAACGTCTCACTGGGCCCTCGCGGACCAAATGATCCATCGTTAGGTCCTCGCGGACCAAATAATCCATCGTTAGGCCCTCGCGGACCAAATGGTCTTTCAGAGATTGCTCGAGAATCTAAACGATCATTAACTCCTCTAGGACTAAACTGCATATTGTTGCCTCTGGGTCCAAATGGGCCAGGATTTCGCAGAGAAAATGGTAAATCGGATAATCCTCTTGGCCCAAACTGTCGATCGATGGGTCCTCTTGGGCCGAACTTTGCATTTATCGGCATTCGAGGTCCAAATTGACCAACTGATTCGTTTGTAGGACCAGGTGAGTCGAATTTCTTACTATTTAAAGATTCAGGTAATTCATTGTTACGATCTCGATCACCATATTGCTCATCATTGGACTGTCTAGGACTGAATCGATTGTCACTGGATATATTAAGCCCAAATTGGTCATCTTTGGGACCTCGTGGAGGACCCAATTGTACATTCATAGAACTTTGCGGTAAGAATGAACCTGGTGGAGGGCCAGTTAGAAAAGCGCGAGGACCTCTGGGACCAAACATTGGCGATCCCCGAGGTCCAAATGGCATATCAGATATCCCTTTGGGACCAAAGCTATTGTTAAAACGCATATCGAATTGATTACCATCCGGTCCCTTTCTATGAAAATCTTTGTTCGGATTCGGTGGAATATTTTGATTAGAATCTGAAGTAATAGGATACAAATTGGGCAATTCCGGTGGTGGCTCCATATTCAAATCCTCTGGTCGTGGATCATTTTCACTTATGAAGGGCAAGCTTTCAGGCTGCTTAGTACAGTTATCATTATTATTAGATTCATCTGTTATTTCTGTGTTACTTTGAAACTGATTATCATGTTTCTTGTCACCTTGTTGCAAAGAATTATCATCACTAGTAACTTTATTTTCTTCTCCATTATTATCCTTCACGCCATCAGAAGTAACGATGTCGTTTTGCTCAACAGAAATATTAATCTCATTCGCTTGCGTCGCTTCTGTATCTTTTGCATCTGCAACTTTATCAGTTTGCAACGACGAATCGGCGTCAAGGCAAATAATTTCAATATTTTCAGGATGTTTAATAGCCTCTTGAGACTGAATATTTGTTATTTGGGATTGATTGAGATGCGGTCTCGTTTCCATATTCCTTCCTCGTTCATTGTAATCCATAAGGCTATGTTTAGCAAAGTTTTCTACGTGTCCTCTGAAAGGAGGCTCGTTATCGCGGTTGAAAAGGAGACCTCGTGTCCCGAACGATGAAGTGGAAATTTGTCCTAAATCAGAAGAATGTGACGGAAAACTTGATGATCCGCTACTCGCCGGTCCACTACGATTTGGTGGATTCTTTTGAAAATCGAAGGAGCTTCTAAAAGGTGAGTCAGCGGTAATCTTTTTAAAGCTTTCGCTAAGAGAACCAACAGTTGACTTGTCGGAATCAACAAAACTAGGTCTAAATACGTCCCCTGCTGCTTTTCGCTTTTCCATGAGTTTCTTCAGTTCTGGCGACAGCTCGTTCGGCGGACTGAATGATGGATTTCTGGTGAAACCTCGAGTGTTAGTACCGAAACTGTCTCGTCTATGATCAACTGAATCTTTTGAATCAAAATAATCCGCGTTACCTCTACCAAATCGATCGTTCGGGCGAAAATGTTCGCTATTGGGCCCAAATCGATCATTACCAGAAAAGAAACGATCTTTGGATTCGAAACGATCAGTTCCAGAAAATTGTTCTCCACCTGGTGGAAACCGTTCCGCTCCAAATCGCTCATTATCTGGAAATCGGTCATTTCCAGGTCCGCGGTGATCTTTGTCCATCTCCGGCCGATCATTTCCAGGTCTAAATCGATCGCCCTCCTGCCATTCATTGCTAAACCGATCAGATCCTGGACCAAGACGATCGTTCGATCCGAATCGATCACCTCCTGGTGCAAATCTATCACTTCCCATCGGTCCGAATCGATTTGCTGCTCCAAACCGATTATCATTACCTGAATTAAAATTATTCTGCGAGTTTAATTGATTATTTCCAAAGTCATTGTAATTTCTATCGCCTCTTCTAAAACGTTGTGCGTCGACTTTGTCAAAGTTATCAGTGGAAGGTCTGAATTCTTGTTCGTGCAAATTTGGATTAGTGTCATCTCGTGCAAAACGTTCCTGATCGCCTCTTCCGAAGTTGGGCTGTCCGTCAAAATTGTGAGACGGGCGATCGTTTGAATGCATAAAACGCGCATCCGTACTTGAAGAATCAGCCGAAACAAACGGAGGACAATCTTTCATGTTTGGACCTGGCGCTTTCACATTTTGCATTTGCATTCGATCGTTATTGGGAAAATTTGGTGGAGGTTGCGAAAAGTTTGGTGTAATGTTATTTGGCAGACTCAGCTGTGGTTGTGCAAAATTTGGCGGGACCATTTGGGATGGCCCAACATCCGGTACTGGAAACATTGGGGGGGGCATCGTCGACATCCCGGGACCGTACCCCGGTGCTTCCATTCTGGGATTGTATTGTTGATTTCCCCATTGTTGCTGATTAGGCCAATTCGGCACTGCGGGTCTAATCATGTTTACTTGCGGTGGAGTTTGCTGCATTCCTTGTATCACAGGTTGATTACTAGAACTTGTGGTTTCCGGCAGTGGTGGCGGTGGCGGCGGTGGCAGTAGAGATGCAGAAATATTTTGCTTCCCTGTAAGACCCAAACTTTTTCCAATGCCCAACAGATTGTTGATCAATTGATGATTTTCGGTGTTCGATAAGATGTTCAGTATTTTATCGTCGCCAGGTATGCTCTTGTTCTTTTCAGCTTCTGCTTTCGCGGCAGCCTGTTTCTGTTGTTCCCGTTTTTTCCGCATCTGCTCGCGCCGTTCAAGCAGCTTCTCACGCCATGATGTCCATTTTGCTTCGTACTGTTTATACTGAGTCTGAAATACGAAGATATTAATTTAATTTCTCTACAAGGTGCAATTTTAATTTTTTGTTTACGTTAGCTCTTACATACATGCTTTCAATTATTTTAATGTTGATCTTGATATCATAAAAATAAAAATGTCTTCATTTTATATGTTTCAACTAATAATTACAAATACAACAAATTTTGAAATATATTCAAAATTTCAAAATGTATTTTTCGAAATATAATTGAAAGCATAGAGTATATTTAAAAAATCAATTTTTCAATATAATTATATATCAAAAATTATTTGCAAAATCTCATTGTTTGTAGATCTTTACTTTTTTTTTAGCAAACACCAAAATCAACTTCATCGAAAGTGTCTTTTAATATGAATAATTACTTTTTAATAATATCCATTTAATATTTCGTAATAAATTATATGCATTGAAAATCATACTTACCTTGTCTGGATGATTAGCGTTTTGCTGCTTCCAGATATTAAACTGTTCTTCCCACTGTTTGAACTGTGCATCAAATGTTTTCTCAGTTTCGGTCAATTCCTCTTCTGAGTTTTTTTTAGCACTATTGGAATCACTAATTACATTACTATTGGATTTTTCAGCTGTAATATTCTCCCTATTCTCGCCGATTTCAGGTGGTAAAGGTGGCTGGCTTGTTGTAGGTAACGGTGGATTTGTAGGATAATTTGTTACATTTGCTTGTGACATTATCTTATTAGCAGATTCTTTTGCAGGAAATAATGGAAGATTGTTTTGATGCGGAGGTGGCATGCTCGTAAACTGATATGTATTTGTGGTAGCGGGGGGCAAGGGTGGTCGCGTTTCCTCTTTGGGGAGGGGTGGTGGTTGCACATTTGAAGACACTTGCATTTGACTCGTCAAGTTCATATTCTGTGCTGGTAAATGTTTCATCTCCTGATACTGAAAAAATTCCCCATTAATAAAAATTAATAAATTAAAACTATAAATATTTCTAAGGATATTAACGTTTTGTGTATACATAAATTTTTAAAACTATCGAACCTTTTATAATATATCAAACAAATTATTTTAAAAAAGAACAGGATTAAAGATATATTTTGCACGTTTTTCTTCGTTTTTTTAAATATAATTTTCACACAAATTTTATGCAAAATAATTTTACACAAAAGAAAGATTAACACAAATATTTCTATTATAACTTGTTGTTTTCACTTGTGTTATACATATTTATGTATATTGATTAAAACAGTTTAATCTTTAAAAATTAAAAGTATACGTATATAAAGATATGAAATTTTTGTAGACATAATTTAAAATCTAAAAAATGTTTAAAAAGCTATATTCTCAAAGAAATATTTTTTATCTATAATATATACATACTTTATTAAAATAATTATGCAACAATTTTATACAAAATAAAATAATAAATCTAATGCTAATGTTTCAGTAAATAAAAATTATCGATATCAATTTTTCCTTCAAAAATTTTACTATTTTATTTCTTAAATTTAAATTTTATTGTACATAGTTATTTTTATACTTAATACTATTATTATACTTAATACTTATGTTTAGATGAGTAAAGAGATAAAAATATTAATATTATTTACTCATCTAAATATAAGATATCTAAATATATATAAAGTACATATACTTTATAATATCTAAATATATATAAAGTACATAATATGTATAAAAATAACTATATAGTAAAACTTAAATAAAATTAAATTGAAAAATAATAAATAAAATAATAAAATTTTTGAAAGAAAAATCAACAATTTTTATTTGTTATTGCAACATTAGCATTAGACTTATTATTTTATTTTGTACAAAATTATTATATAATTATTTATTATAAAGAAATATGTACATGTAATAGATAAAAAATGTCTTTTTAAGAATATAGCTTTTTAAACTTTTTTTATTTTTATTTTTTATTTTTATTTTTATTTTTTTTTTTAGTATATACCTTGTCGCCATATTGCGCATGCCATTGTTGATATTGTTGTTGCCATTGTTGCCATTGAGCCCACCCTTGCTGTTGTGCAGCTGCCCATTGCTCTGGTGTATATCCGCTAGGCGCCTAATAGAAAAAATATATATGTAATAAAATTAGATTAATATTAAAAACGTTTATTATACATAATTGATTAATCAAACATTAATTAAACTCAACGTTAAACTAATCTAAAAAAAATCTACTGTAATTGAAACTGCTATCATTAGCTTATTCCTTGTATAAGAAAATTTTTCTGAATCTTTTTTGAGAACACTTAAATTATTAATATCAAAGTAAAACATAAAGATAACAAATTTTTTAATCAAAAACTATGAAATTTTAATGTTGGAGTGCTAACTTCACACACGCAAGGCTACTGTGCAATACATTTTATATAAAGAATTTAATATCCTTGTTTAAAATCATACTTACTGGTTGATTATAATATTGCATGTAACTTTGCATCAGGGCCATAGGATCCGCGCCTGTTGCTGGTGCAGCGTAACCAATTGGTGGCTGTGGCACTGGGGTCGTAACACCAGCTGACAACTGCCATTGGTTCCAATTTTGCATTTTGTATATCTTCTATCGGACTAGCAAGCAGCTTGCTAGTTCACTCTAAAGGCCGTAGTCCGTTCTAGGTTATACTATCTTGTATTTAAAGAAAATTTATATACTTTATTTATTGTAGCACATGTATATTTCGTAATTTCTGTTTTAGCTTATTTCAATATTTTTCAATTATTTCGACTCTTTATACAATTGTATAAAGACGGTAGGCTCTTTAAAAAAAAAGTGTGTGTAATTATTTTGTAACGTTGCTTAAAATTCAATGAATAAAATGTATATACATATATGTGCATATGTATTATATATAATGCATGAGAAATGCAGTTGCATCACAGCTGATGCAGTTTAAAAAAATGTTAAAATAATAATACAATTTTATACACATCTCAATAGTAATATCACATTTAGCAAATGCTGTATGGAAGTATATAAACGTGAGAGAAAACCTATAACTATTATATCAATGCAAAATATTTTCAATGAATATTTTCCTTCGATTATTTATGTCAAAAGTGCAAGTATTCTGACAAATAAAATCTGTCATAATAAGTAATTGTCATTTAGTATGTTCAAGGTATCAAAAAAATCATATAGTAAAGTAGCGCAGAGTAAAATAGATGCATTAGACTTTCTGTACGAGAAAGTCTAGAAATGTATACAATTTGCATCTAGAACAACTGATGCAACAAATATCATATGTTAACACAGTTTTTGCGCACTCGATAATTTTTCATGCATATTAATAAATAACAACTTCGAGAAGCAAGATAGAATCATATCATTATTACGCCATATATATTCCATTTTTGTTCCAAAAATATATCAAACATACAAAATGCTGCATTAAACAAATCTTATTTACTACAATAAACAAATGTTTATTGTAATAATAAAAAATATCATAGAAACATGATTTTACATTTACATTCTTTTTAAGAGTCGCGCACGCACAGATATTAACACAAAAGTTACAATATCTAAATATATTATTATAGCAAAATATAAAGAAAGATAGATACTAAACAACAATAAAAATAATACTTTAGCTGACTCATAATATCAAGAGCATAATATTAGAAATAAAAAAAATTTCCATTACTTGTTATTTGGTGCATAAAATTGTTTAATATCTAATTGCTTATACTTTACTATGATAGCCAGCCAAACAATAGTCGCCTGTTTGACAATTTATTTAAATATTGTAATGCTTTCTGTTAACGGTCAAACAATTTGCAATGTTAAAAATAGAAAAATGCATTTGCAAACTCATGTTTAAAAGATATTTTTTTTCATTAGTAGATTAGTGAAATACACTGAGCAGTTTGTATGTAAATTTATCATGTATTCTGCATACATCCAGCTAGTGGTAGTTATGTATTAAAATAGATTCTTCTGAGAAGAAAATATCAAGTGGAAGAGTCACTAATGAAAAAAGAAGTGTCTCATCCATTCTGTCGCCGACTATACATAAATACAATATAAAAATCAGATTCTGCCTAAAAATATTTGTATCTTCATAATAAAATCGATTATGTCATAGATATATATGTATAGCATATATAAAAAATAAAATAAAAATTAGATTTCAGAATATTGCAAGGTACAATGTAAAACCATGTATATGTATAGTTACTTTATAGTTTATAGTATTATTTAGATTATATACATATATATTTATAAAACCACACAGAATCATGCAATCAAATATCTTACATGATTATATGAAAATATAAATACTTTTACACGATGTGACAGGATATATTATATATATATATATATATATATATATATATATATATATAAAGTATAAAGCATTTGGAGTAGAAAGTATAAGTAATTGGAGATATAAATCACAGTATAAGAAAGTAATTCTTCATAAAAAAACCGACAAAAAATGTTCAGTAAAATTCTTTGATTAATTGTGTAGCTTCCTAGAAGCAATAATTTCGAATAAATTTGTTCAATAACAATTTGCTGAGTAAATTTGTTCCTTAAGTACGTAAATACGCTAAAGATACCCAGATGGCCAAGAGCAAATAAGCAAAGTGTGTGTTACATATTACATTATTAGAACTCCAGCGACAGCCTGGTACAGAGTCTGCTGTTGTTTTTATATCGGTAGAAATATATCAGAAAACGAGCAGGTCTTGCATTATGACATCATGTTAGCAAGGTATGCTCCATTTCTATTGTTGTATTAACAAGCCTGGCAAGTCATAACGGCAGAAACCAAGCTTAAAGAGAACACAACGGATAAGAATCTGCTCTAAAATCGATATGCCGGCGGCAACTGCTGGCATACCGCTAGCATTTTGCTATCTATATGTCTTAGCTTCAAATCATTTTCAATGATGTGTTTTAATTATTGCTGTTTCTTCGTAGTACCAAGCAATTATTATTTACGTCATTCAACAACAATTATCATTATGTTCATTTATCATATTATATCAACTCTTCGACGCAGTTAAAAAAAATATGTAGACGCAGACTTCGATTGAGATAGCTGAATCGTCTATTTCTGTATACTTACAAAAGTGTGTGGGTGTACGTGTATGTCAACACAGAATCAAACAGATGCGCATAGACACTATCTTGATGTTAGAAATTTCTCTCTCGAAAACTGTGCGATCAATCAAGAGAAGGGGTAGTTTATTCTTTTCTCACGACAAATCACATTTTCCTCGCTAATTATAACGCGAACAGCTGAACGTCCTGCAGATGGGAGAAAATTCGTCAATTAGTTTCGAGGCGAAAATCTCTCTACGCATGATCGACGCGTTAATCGTATATATAGATCAAGTTGATCAAAGATAAAAGCAATTGCGATTCAAACGATTTTTTTCTTTCATTATTATTATTTTTTTTTTTTAAGGAAGTGTCCATCGTTTATTTAATTTGTATAATACTTACAACTATTGGTTCCCGCATCGAATGACGAGATTAAGTAGTTAGGTCAAGATTTAGATCGCAATTCCATATGGAACGACAAGGAAGGTTAGCATAAAGGTTGATTAAGTGCAAAGGTGTTTATTGATTTCTCGTATTTCGCATTAACTCCTACGGATACAAGGTGACACGAAGCCACCGAGTATCTTCTGCAATTCTTTCTTTCTACAGTGAAATCGATTTCACAATGAATATTCTCTTCAGGAAAATATCGAAGAATGTTACTTAACGCACATTTCTTTACGAATTTTCAATAATTTTTATACAATTAAACTTCAAATTAAAATTCGATTTGAGATTTGAAATTAATCTTTCAATAATAACTAATTATTTGCTCAACAAATAATAATAATATTCTTCACAAAATTAAGACTTAATTTTCTATAATCTTAATATTTCTAATTAATTTTAATATTTTCTGTAATCTTAATCTTAATATTAAACATTTTAAATTCGATTTGAAACTCGAAATTCATCTTTCAATAATAACAACTAATTATTTGTCCAACAAATAATAATAGTATTCTTTAAAAAATTAAGACTTAATTTAAACGTCTTGTTATGTGTTATGTTATTATGTTTGTTTCTACTGAGATGTGTCGGCTGAAACTTTAATTACAATCGATATCGGTCGGCGTAGCTAAAGTCAAGCCGACATCTCAAAAGAAACACAGACGCAACATTGTTGACTGTATAGAACTTTCAATAACGTAACAAAGTTGATCTGAAGCTTTATATTTTCAAAAATATTTAATATTAAAAATCAGATAGAATGATGATCAGATGATATTATTACCTTGGAATAATTATTTGCTTCAACATCTTTGTTAGATATCAGAACAGAGATGTATAGCAGAAATTATGGTCAATACTCATAGCGCGATCTTATATTCAAAATCGATTTTAAATACAATCTTGAGACGCTGTATGATCATTTCATTGAAATGAAGTAGAATTTTGAAACCGCCCATGTGATCAGACTTAAAACGATCTTGAATGTAAAATCAGACTATGAATAAAGCTCTATAAAATATAATTATAATCACTTAATTCAGATTTGAATATATGGCGTGCAGATAATAATTCTTCTTGTTTAATCAATAAGTTTAACTTAATCACGTAGGATAAAACCACCAAATAAATTTGAGACGCACCTTTTGCGGTCAGGCTGGATCTTGGTGTGCCTAATAATATTTCTGTATAAATTCTAAATTTTGTTTAATCACAAATAAAATGCGATTATCAATATTCTTTCTTATATATACCATATATATATTCTTATATATACCATAACGTCGAAGACTTGATAGCGAATTTGTCAGACATAACTCTGTCCTGGTGCAACAAGAATTGTGCTATACACGAAGGTATTTAAGGATGACCAAACACCGATTAACTTCATCAGTAATTCAACCAACAGATTATTCTACTGCAAAATATCTAATGATTTCTTGATTCGTCGTCCTTAATCTAATTTTCCTTTTCATATATCAATAAAAAATTAATTATTCCATGTTAACAATACAAGTTGCTTGAAAATAAAATGGAATATAAAATAAGACAAAACTATATGTATCTTTTAACATTACTTTTTCTCATCACTGGATCAACTGTGTACATCATATTTTTTAAATCTTTTTCTCATATGATTGCTCGATGAATCTCCCTAAATGAGCTCTCTTGGGGATTGCAATTATGGTTTGAAAAAAGTCAGTCCTTGCACCGCTCGTAATTATATTATAATAATACAATTTTCCGATAAAATTACAATTTTCCGAAAGGACGATCAATTAAATCATAATTCACTCATACCTGATTGGTTGAAGAGTTAATCGTGTCTTGATCAAAGCCCAAGTGGGAGAAAACACAAACACTTTGACCAACGAAGTAGGTATCCAACGTTTCGTTAAAAAATGCACGACAACATTGACAAGTGGGATGTTTTGTTGGTCAAAATATTTACGTTTCGTCGAGTGCAATTTCTCACGGAGCCGTGACACTTCGTGTAATGGTAGTCCTTCGGGGTGCACCAGTGCGGAGGCAATGCCGACGACTCAAATTCGCCGCGAGCTCTCCACCGAGAGATTATTATACACTGCAGGTTTCGATTCCCGGCCGGTGGGACGGAGAATTGAGAGCTATTCCGGATTCTCCGGGACGCATGCAAATGTATGCGGGTATCGCGCCGCCATGGGCGATTCGCAATTCGTGCAACTCGACTCGTCGCAACGCGAGAGAATTAATGAATTAATGTATGTCGCGTATATATACTCACAACTGACGCGAATCCAAAACAGGCGCCCCCGTTAACGACCGCAAACGCGGTCCACCACGCACACTTACACACCGCGCTCGTGCCCGAAATTCACGCGAGGAACATCACGAATGCATCACGAACACATTACGTCGCACGTTACACGAAGACGTCGACTCCGTCAGTCCGTCCGAATCACCGATCTAAAGTGCGGTCAAGTGTGAAGTGATCAAGTCTGGCAACTCTCGCGACAGGGTCGCCAACGTGACGTCGAACGTGAACTTTCCCTCATGAAAATTGTGTATTTCACTAAAGAGGATCCCTCTGATTTCACTGTACACAAAGACTTTTTTTGAAGTGGCTATTAAAAAGGATTTGACGGTCATCCAGATAATTTTAATTAATTAATTACGTTCCTACTGCTCAGCCGACGCAAATAAACTAAGCAAAGTTTTTCTGCGAAATCGTGTTTCGTATGAAAAGTTTTTGAAATGTAAACAATCGAAGAGATTTCATAGTCATTCGAATAATTTAAATTAAATATCAATTATCACTGTTCAGCTTACTGTTTATATATTTTTAAGAATTAGAAAAATACAAGGAGTAATAATTAAATCGAGATGAGCTAACCTGTATTGGTAAAAATGGACGTTAAAGGGAATAATTCTATCTCAGCGGAAGAAAACAATTCCAACATTTGCGAAATAAACATTCTGCTGAGCGCGGAGCCAATGAATGAGGCTGAACGAGAGCCTCCGTTTCGCGAAAACTCCGAAGCGCGTTGGCAACACTGGTCAATTTGACGTCTCCAGTGAGTCCAGTGTCAGTCCAATCTGACGTGTAGAGCGGATCGCTCGTAGGTTAGGTCGGCAAGTCGTCGTGTGGCTGTGCGTCCGGGAGGCAGGTTCTCTCTCTCTCTCTCTCTCTCTCTCTCTCTTTCTCTCGTGTTCAAACAATCGTGAGATCATGCTCGATCTGTTCACGATATTCAGCAAGGGCGGCATAGTGCTCTGGTGCTTCCAGAGCACGTCCCAGATTTTCGCGCCAAGCGTCAACGCTCTGATAAGAAGCGTTATACTGCAGGTGAGTCGCAAAAAGTTAAAACCCATTTGACAGGCGTATGAGTCAAACGTCTGACCTTTGACCCCAAATTGCATGACGCGTTTCCCCAATTTCTCCCCGCGTTAAACTCGCGTTCTAATTATTCAATTAATTCCACAATAACAATCCCGTTTATTTTTAAAGTAGCTCCAACTCCACAGGTATCCGTCCTTACATCTTTAGACTTTGTATAATTTCCTTTCTGAATCTATTACTTTTAAGAATAATCGCGTGATATAAAAAGAATTCTATAAAGCTTTGCTCAAAACTGTGTAGTATATTTTGAAATGTGTAGATGTTTTTTTTAAATTTGCGAACTAACTGTGTACACATGATGTTAAGAACGAGGTCGTCAGGTTGAATGCACCATATGGTTGGAGTTGTCTAACTCCAATTATAAAACTAGTCATCTTGTAAAAAAATTCTCTATTCCGCAAAATAAAATTAAATTAAAAGAATGGATATTATATAAAAAATTAGTTTCTTACATTTTATTTTTCTGGAAAATTTGTTTGACAATGATTTTTCTTTATCTCAAAAATCAAATCTCAGTATTGATGAAACTCAGATCTTTATATTTCTATATAAAATTAAATAGGACTAAATTGAGGAATTAGTGTTATGTAAAATTTTTTACTGTGATTGAAAGAAAAGTTCTTCACTAGAGCCAATTTTTCAGGAACGCACAGGGAATCACAGCTTCGAGCATGACTCCCTGCGACTGCAGTATAAACTCGACAATGAGTTTGAGCTGGTGTTTGTGGTGGCATATCAGAAGATACTGCAGTTATCTTACGTGGATAAATTCCTGAATGACATCCATTTAGAGTTTAGGGACCGTTTCAAGAACGAGCTCGAGAACTCGAGCTGGTTCACCAATTTCGAATTTGAACATGCGTATCGTGCGGTGCTCGACCGAGCTGAACATTGGTCACGCTCACAGGCTAAGATACCGAAGCAAATGCGCACTTTTGACGAGAGTCAGAAGTCCAAAAAGACTGTCGCCAGCATGATCGAGAGGAAAGACGACAAAGACGATAGGAAGCCAGGTATACAACTGCAATTGGCAGTAATAATTACTTTACTCAAAGCGATAACAGTGTACATATAGCTTTATCTATTTTTGAGAAAAAGTGAGCTTGAATTTTAAAATCTGAATAATTTAAAAGGAATGGGAGCAAAAGAAGGGTGTATCTTATTTGTAGTCATTCGTAACATTTAGGTTTGCTGTATATGGGGAAAATTCAGAAATTACGAAAATAAGATTTATGCAACCATCCTCAGGAAAAAAAAGAAGTATAGTGTAGTGTAGTAGGGGTATATAGGAGTGTCGCGCGCTTGTTTTATTTTTGCGATATGAGACAGTAAGCAAATTTCTGTAACATTTAGAATTACAAGCTATTTTTATTCAGTAATTTTCTCCCGATCTGGGTAATACTAAAACAACGGGGATTTTCTTCGCTTCTAGGTAAAAAGAAGAGAGCAAATAACTGTAATGGGGATTATCATAGTAAGTAGCTTTTACTAAATCCTTGCATGCTGGCGCACTCTATTGCATTATGCGTAACATATTGCATAAGTAAAATTTAAAAAAATTAACAAACGTAACTTTATTTCGCTAAAGTTTTGTTTGGGAATTTTGTTTCTTTATTCAATGCTTTGTGTTAAATTAAATATATTAATGCTGCAGCAAAAATTCAAGATGTTCCAAAACAGGAATTGCCGAAACAGCAAATGGAACATAACGGGGAACTCAACGAAGAAACACTGATTGCCAATCGTATGAAGCTCGCTCAGAAAATGGCAGGACCAAAGAAGAAAGCTGACAAACAGTAAGCATGTATTCTCTTTTTAATTTTTAATTTCTATTGAGAAAGTAATCTTCTAGATTAAATGAATTAAAAAATACTAATTATTAGACTATATTATCAAACATTTAATATAAATTATTAATTTAATTTTCTTTTTATAAAAAAAATTCTATTGGCAATATATATAAAACAATGTAAATTTAAAACTAATCAATAAATATCATAATAAAAACATCTGTTATATTAGGAAAAGTCCTAAACCTGAGAAAGCTGGTAAGAAGCCGCGCATCTGGGAATTGGGTGGCACAACCAAGGATCTTGCTACGCTAGAGCGAACTAAAGACAAGCCCGAAGAGAATGATGACTATGTGGCAGCTAATACAGCTGTAATACTTTTTATTTTGTAATTTTGGAATATTAAGTTCGGTGAAGTTTATCTTCTATTTTATTAGTTTGAGAGTCTTATGAATTTCTTTGATTAATTTAACATCTCTAATATTGATAATCAGATTTCTCCATTTTTAATTTTGAAATTAAATTGAAAAAATGTTATATAACTGGTAGTAAATATAAAATAGATTAATTTTTATAATAACAGATCGGAAAATATAATTGGAATAAAATGAATGAAACGAAATGTGAAAAAAAATAATACACTATAAATCGATTCTCAATCAAAGAAATTGAGATTTATTATTTTTATTTTTATTATTTATAGTGCTTATTTATATTTTTATTATTTTCTGTAGCTAGTTGGACAGATGAAAGGAAGCATACGCGACCTCGAGGTGAACAGCGATTCTGAGGACAGTTCCGATCAGGAAGAGATAGAGCAGTCCAAGCAGCAAGCGCAGAAGAAAACGAGTATGTTCTCTATGTTCAAGAGTCTGGTCGGCAGCAAATCTCTAAAACAGGAAGACATGTTGCCTGTTTTGGAGAAGCTGAAGGATCATCTGATCACCAAGAATGTCGCCGCGGATATCGCGCAGAAGCTATGCGATTCTGTTGGCACAAAGCTGGAAGGAAAAGTACTTGGTACCTTCGACAGCGTGGCAAATACCGTGAAGGCCACCCTAACGGACGCTCTAGTGCAGATACTGTCGCCCAAGAGGAGAATCGATATTCTGCGAGATGCTTTGGAAGCTAAGAAGAGTAACAGGCCTTACGTGATGACTTTCTGCGGCGTCAACGGGGTCGGCAAGTCGACGAATCTGGCAAAAATCTGTTTCTGGTTAATAGAAAACAATTTCCGCGTACTGATAGCCGCATGCGATACATTCAGGTAAATGAATGTTATTGTAAGTCTTGAAATAATGTCTCGTATATATTTTTTCTTTACGTATGCACATAATTTATTTCAAACATTTTACTTTTAAAATAAATCAGATATTTTTTGAGATATTTGTCGTCCTTAACGTGCCTCACTCGTAAGATAATATAAATTCTAACAAGTTTACGTATACCTTAACAATTATAGTCTATTAATAGCCTATAAATAACAATAACGACAATTTTGTGATTCAGAGCTGGAGCTGTCGAACAGCTGAGAACGCACATGCGACATCTGAATGCTCTACATCCACCGGAGAAGCACGGAAATCAGTCGATGGTGCAGCTATATGAAAAGGGTTACGGTAAGGATGCCGCGGGTATCGCCATGGAGGCGATACGCTTTGCGAAGGACTCCAGGCTCGATGTTGTCCTGGTCGACACTGCCGGTAGAATGCAAGATAACGAACCCTTGATGCGAGCTCTGGCGAAGCTAATTAAAGTAAACGAGCCGGACTTGGTATTGTTCGTGGGAGAAGCTCTCGTCGGCAACGAAGCTGTGGATCAGCTGGTGAAATTCAATCAGGCCTTGGCTGACTACAGTCAATCTGCCAATCCTCATATTATCGACGGTATCGTGTTGACGAAATTTGATACGATCGACGATAAGGTCAGTTTTTCTTTCTATATATAATCTTTATTATATATTTCTTTTTTTTTTTTTTTTTTTTTAAGAAAATCTCTTTAAAATCCTCAGTTCCCATAATATACAATCAAAAACTATTTTGTAAGATTGATATTTGTTTTGCAAAAATTACATTTTGATTAATTTTTATTTAAAATATATATGTGTGTATAATAACTACTATAAATACTATATATTATAATAAATACTCTAAATTATATTTTATATACAATAATGGGCCAGATATGTGCATAGAAAATATATTTTCGTATATAAATCGATTAACTTTTTACGCAGCATTTACAATCGTTTATCACGAACGTTACTTGCAGGTCGGCGCAGCTATCACAATGACATACATCACTGGTCAACCTATTGTTTTTGTTGGAACCGGCCAAACTTACACCGATCTGAAGTCATTGAATGCCAAAGCGGTGGTACACGCTTTGATGAAGTGAAAGATAGTTACGAGCAATAATAAATCTCTACAGGTATTCCTACCTGTGACATATGTAGATTTCATTCAATCTTTGTTATACACGTTGATATTACAGTCGAGCTTTTGTATTACATTCGGGACTGGGTTAGATTATTGTCCGGCTAAACTGTCGGGATGAGGACTGAAGGAAAAGTCAAGAACTTGGGCCTTACGAGTAAATATGAAAACGCGACTGTACAAAATTTCGCGAGGATGACACTGTTGTTACGAAAAACGAAAAAGAAAACCTGATATTAGGAAAAAGATTTAAAAAAAAGGGACTGATTGCGCTCCCAATTGGCGACGTTTCAGGTTACCGCAAACTGATTGTATTTGTCAAATAAAGTTGAATATTTCACAGTTTAGAAGTAGTTTTGATTCCACGGACCGGTCGTCACTGGATTCGACATGCTTTTCTCAGAAAAAGCTAGAAAAGAACATGTTTTTTTTTTTTTAAATATAATACAAAAAGAACCTAAAATTTTATAAAACTTATATAACGAATTTTATAGAAAAACTAATTTTTCACATTTATATTAAATCATGGATAGACAATAATGAAAATAAATAACTGCGTTATAGCAAGCAAATTGCAAAATTGAACGGGAATACAAAGTGCCGCCATGTTCCTTCTGAAACGAGAGGACCAATATGGCGCAACCAATCAGATTCACAGATTCTTATTTCACAACTTCTCCACTGAAAACTCATCTGTTCCGATTATTTCTTATCCATGCTGTATCCTGCTCTTGGGTCTTGCGACTTGCGATTCGAAAGAGGAGTCTCTGATATATTACATAATTCGGCGTAATTGTTATACACTATAAATTCGAAACAGTGAGTAATTTAAAACTGTCGTTAAACGTAGAAGTAAACAGCGCTAAGTGTATGACAACCGTTTCCTTTTGCAATTCCATAATGATTTTCGGCGACATGCGAGGTTAAATCGTCACTTTCGACCACGTCATTTTCTTCCTTCGCGGATCGGCCAATATAAATTTTATTATTCCAAACCCCATTCCATTCGCACTAATGACGTGAATCGCGTTAATCTCTATTCATGTCTGATTTGGAAAAAAAAAGAACTAAATTTTTTTGCGTAATGTTTATAGGTATCGACATAACTAACCTGTACTTGACGGTGTTGACACTTGGTGCTCTCGCGCTGAAAGATTTTTCACATAGATCTGTCGTGTCGTATTACCGTTATTATTTACGTTCGCCAAGCGCAAAACGAGCGTTAATGGTTAATTCGTTTGTTGACAGGCCAACATGTCGCAACCATTTCGACCCATGAAGTATCCATACACGCTGACCGCGAAGGCCGCTCAGTTTCCCTACAAGTACTACATAAAGCACAGTTGGCTGTATAAATATATGCTAATCGGCACGCTCGTAGCGTTCCCCATATTTTATAAAATTCAAAGATTATGTAAGTCCCAGCCCTCAATTGTGTATCTTGAAGTAATAAGGTGAAAATTACAAGTGAGCAAATTCATTAAAATATTTTTAATTTCATTGGTTAATATCTTGTAAATTGCTTATTTTTGAAATTTTCATCTCGTTTTAAGATACACAATTGACCCCCTGCAGCTTGTCTCATTTGTCCGGTCAGTGGAATATGTGTGTTAACTGTGCTATCTCTGTTTTCAGCGTACTCTCCTGAGAACGTTGCGAAATGGAAGAAAATTCATGACGAGATGTTCCACGGTCCTCCAGGTCCCCATCATTGAAGTAGAGATGCAATCGTTAAACCAAATTAAATGTTAAAAACAAACATGTGTAAGAGAGAAAGGAAACCCTGTAATCTTTTCTCTGTTCAATTAGAGGAAATAAATCTTTAATCTGTAGAATGTGTAGAGAAATAACTTACGGAGGCGAAAGGAAATTGTTTAAAAAAAAATCTATTTGAAGGTTTTTGTGTTATCAAAATAATCGTAAAATATACATGACTAAAAAAGAACGCTTTTCTGTAATTACCGCATAATACAATCGATCATTTTGTACCATAACTGTTACATAAATCTAGCGTGAAAAAAATTGAAAAAAATGTTAAAAATAAACTAAATATGCGAAAACATAAGTACTACTGATAAAACAAAAATTTATACACGGGCGTAATAAAATACTTGAAATAATATTCTTCAGTTGATAACAGTCACAGAACACGCAGTACAAAAGTATCCAATTTTATTGTCTGGATCTACAAACATAAATTTTTATAAACGATACTTCTGACTTATGCGTTTTTTTCCTTTTTTTTTTGAAAGCCGTGCTCGTATTCTATCGTTAAAGCTCGAGTACAGACTATCTTGAGAAAAGCAAAATTTATAGTGATAGATTTACCGTATGCGGTTAACGATTCTTAATTATAACTACGGCAATGAGTAATATATAGGTTGCCGCTTTACGTGAATAATATTAAAAAAATAATAAATAATTGATCGATGCGAGAATATATATATCGAGCATCTCTTCTTGTTTACATCTAGAGAAAAAATAGTGCTATCCCTGTATTCTAGTCGAAGCAAATGGAAACTAATCAGCTGTATATGTCATTTTGAAATGCTCTACGCGTGCGCGATATCATCTAAAAGTATACGTGTGGCTATATGCATTCTTGCAAATAATACTGCAGATGTCTTTATTACAAGAAGCCTCGAAAAAGTCGATTATAAAGTGAGAGAAAATCTTTTTTGTATATATTTGTATCATTGATTTTGATCAGAATAAATTTTTGTAGTTGCACTATTCCGTGAAATTTGTTCCAGCGTAACTTTATATTACTCCGTAGAAAGAAAAAAAAAGTGTATAATTTATAAATATCTTGGACTACATACAGAATCTTTCAACCGCTCAACATCACCGGATATACAAGTCCACAAAATATGCTGAGTTCAAAATATATAAAATATGAGCGGCCCTTGAAATTTGAATTTCATGAGTATGCTTCGTAATGAAATATATGTATCTAATCTTGTTTATTCTATCTTCTCTTCTGCGTCTCGCTCTCGTCGCTTTCCGATGTGCCGTTTTCCTCGACGTCGTCGCTATCCAATCTCGCCCTCTTAATCTTGGGCTCTTCTTGGAAAAGTGCCTCGTCGAAATTCAGGCCTAATTCTTTGCAGCGTTTCTCGAAGAATTTGCGTAATCGCATACCTGCACTATACACGTAACTATTTTTAACAAAGCATAGCCTCGCTTCTTACACGCACATTTCCAAATTGGTTCGGAGGCCAAAGATTATTTACATCAACAACAGCGAAGCCTTATTTGTACTGAGAGTTACGGACGAATTGACACGTTCGTAAATTTTGTGAGATGTAAAGAAGTCGAGTTCCTTCCATTAGGCAATCATAAAATAGTTAATTACATTTATCTATAACGTGTAGAGTAGCTTTTTATATTAAGTGTAATTTGACCGAATTATAGCCGTGTGTTAACATGTGTTATATTTTGTTGTTTTCGTGATATTTTGTCGACCTAATCCGAATTACACCTACCAGTTACATTAACAATTTATCTATACAAATCTCAAGTCAAAGTTAGCATACAAATGAGACAAAAAAAATAAGTGTAATTTATTTTGTTATTAGTAATAATAGTAATATGTTAATTAAAATCAATGTACGTGTAGAGTTGTCGTTAATAATGTAGACAAAATATGTAGACGAAATTAACACTAATTAGTATTGTAATCTCTGGCATCCGAACTTGCGTGAAACCAATAACAATAACGTTGATACTTACTTGTACACAGTACTATGCTCCTTGTTGTACAATCCGCAGTTTTCAAAGACCAATTGGCAATCGCTAAAGAATTTATCTAGTGTCTCGTAGTCGCCGTTACCAAGTTTGTACTTAATAGTTCCAAAATCCATCGGATTAGAGATGATATCGTGATAATCTGGAACCTCATCCTTTCTAACGGGTGACAAAAACGGCCATGAATCTCTGTGATGCCAGATCTCGGCCAATAATTCTTGCAATCTAGTCATGGATCCCTGAATCGAATTCTTGTCTCCTTCGGCGGCTCTTTTCGTCGCACGTCGCGTTTGTCTCGGTTCAGTGTCATCCGATGCACTACTATCTGTATATATAAAAAATTTTCATATTAGCAAATTACGTTTTGTCATTTCAATTTGAAATCACTCACTAATTACTTGAAGTCTACACTAAAAATTAAAGTTCTATCAATGATATGTTCATGTGACATACACATGGGTTAGCAACAGCTTATGATTTTCATTGCCAAGATGTTAAGATATGTATATCTAGCATTTACATGACGGGAGGTAATGCTATGCTAGGGTCTGTCCATAACAAAATCCCATTTTACTCAGAAGTCAAAACAAGAATTATATTTCTGTGTGTGCGTGTGTGCATATCGTGCCATATATTATTTCAAGTTAAAATATTCAATTTTATATGAAAATAACGTAAGAAAAGATTTATACATTTCAATAAAAAAAGTCTACGTTGTAAAATTAATCCAGATTTATATGAATTAAAGTCCACAGTAATTATTCGTTTATCAGATTTATTATATTAATTTATGTGCAGATTCTTTTTATTCAGATATGTATTAACGGAAGAGAAATATCGTCTTTCTAAAAATATAAGTGATAATATAAAAACGTTTAATGAAATAACTAAGAATAAAAAAGGTGAATGTCGACAGATTTACAGTAGATAATTCATTACTCAGTTAGAGAGGAGAGGAGGCTCATATGTTATTACAAGATAATTATTTAGATGATGAACAGACCCTGTACTCTTTTAATGTGCGGTGCTTTCCAAGAAACGAAAAAAAAAAAAAAAAAAAGAATGGCCATGGAGATGCTACACATATATATACACACAATAAGAAAAGGGATACAATACAGACCGTCCCAGTCTGTAGATTCTGTAGTGAGGAGGCTCTTGGCAAAGCCATGGATGCGAGAGCGTGCTGCTGCTGCGCACAGCCTCTCCTTGTCTCTTTCCCTCTCGCGCCCCCTCACTATCAACATAATTTTAACGCTAAGAAACTTTCTTACAATATCCTTACAACAACTTCTCTATACCTCTATAAAGTTCTATCGCTACATTGAACGCGGAAACTTTGTTCTTTCTCGAATTATAACAGAAGAGTAACGCCTAAAAACATTTTCGTCTGCGTATCCTTCAGTAATTATTCCCCGTTACCTTTTGTTGCGTTTCGCTTTTTATCCTTGCACTTGGTGCAAGACCATCTTCCTCTAGGATTCCTCGACAATGGCGGTTCCACGCACTCCAAGTGATAACGATTTGAACATGTGTCGCAAGAAATCAACTTTCCACCACTTTTACACGACGCGCATAAATTCTCCGGTCGTATATTTCTAAAATTGTTATAAACGAATTGTTATTTAAATTAATAATTAAGATAACAAAGTTTTAATGCTACGGAGAGACAACTTACATGTCTTCCTCGCTTTCTTCATCATCTTGATCGTCTTCTTGATCGGCCTCATCGTCGCTGTGTGGCACGCGCTTAGCGCGATTGTGTCGCGTCTCTTTGGTTAATATTGTCTCCTCCTCGATCTCGTCCTCGAATCTCTTCCGCTTTTGAGCTTTCTCTTTCGGTTTTATCTCCGGCGGTCTGCATGCCGTACAAAACCAATCTCCCGGTGGTACAGCCTGTATGTAGGAAATAACAAGAAAATAATAACGATAGTTATTGTGGAAACATAAGTGTAATAAACTATTAATTACAGTAAGCTTCGGTTTCAGACAGTAGAGATGGTGTCCCCTGTTGCATCCGTCGCAAAGCAACATGTTCTCCGCATCCCTACGCCTTCGACATATACGGCATTGAGCGTTTAACGCGCTTCTGTCCCACGCGACGCTGTTGTGCAAAGTACTTAAGTGAACAAACAACTGGGACCAGTTTGTAGACGCGATCAGTGACTGTTCCCATCTCTCTCGCGCCTCCTCGCCCGACCACTTCTTATCCTTTTGATCGGGCCCCAGTGGTCTCTGTAAGTACCTCTGCTCTATAGCGTTAGACAACTGCAAAATGGAACAAGCTAGTTGTTTGATGGTCGCCTGTTGCCTTTGATCGGGCACCATTTCGTCGTCACCGGGTAGTCCTAAGTACATTCCTGGATCCTTGTAAGTCTTTATGTTAATACTCCCAACCTCGGAATCGGGGGTGCCGGGTCTACTGTGTTTAGACTCGTTCTTTATCTTATCTACCAGAGCATTAGGTAGTATATCTATGTCCACCTCACTACCGGCGCACATTAATTTGTCGCACTGTTTGTCGTAACTTCTCTGGTTGATCGCACTTCTCCAGACAAGGCGATCGATAATCTTAAGGCATCCCAGACAACCCGCGTTGATCTTATCCTCAAAGTCCAAAATGTGATCTCTCAAAGTTAATTCCATAACGTCGTCGATCGACATATCAGGAGGAAAATTCAAGTTCGCGTTTTCATATTTATTTTTCTTTGCCTTATTGATTTGTCCTTTATTAGACTCTGAAAACTATGTACGGACATCTATTTACTTTTTGTCCTTTAGCCAAGCATAATTATACAGCATACATGTACAAGCTTTAATAAACTATACAAAAATATACTTACAACTTCAGGATTTAGTCTGTGTTTCGGACACTCGTCGATAACAAGGAGCAAATTGTCCATCTCTTGTAAAAGATTATTTCTAAGCTCACTCTCCCTGATACCCCTTGTACTTAAGCTATCTATTAGTGCTTGAATGTCCTCTTGATTGCCGTAGAAACTCCAAGTTGTCAGCGATCTCTTGCAATGAACAGGACAATCTTTGTCTCCCGTACACAGTACCAAACTTCTTTTGATATTGGTGAGATCCTGTTTAAATTCCTTCCGGGGGCTTGGTTCTTTCCGTGGCGATTTAATGCCATTTTTATCCGAGGATAAAAGCTTCTTAGGCGATTTCTTCAATTTTTTAAAACTATTTTCTTTGTCGCTGAACTCATCCTCAAATTTATTTTTTAGATATGCATAAGTTGCTTCCTTGTCTTGCAATTCTGGATGATGTGGGGTACCTTCGGGAAGACAGTTTCCAGGCCAACGTTCGTCATTTTCTACAAATAATCCTACAATAAAAAAGATCGAGAAAAATTAAAATAATAACTCTTTATTTTTATAAAGGGTATTATAAATTTTTATCAAAAATTCTATAAATAGTTCTATAATAGTGGAAAATTACATTGAGAATAAAAAATTGAATGTAAATAAATTTCTTTTTTAATTATTTTATATAACATTTTTAAATGCAAAGTGACATATATTTAACTGTAACTAGTGTTGATAAAACATAGAATCTTTCTCAATTTTGGACATTTAATATTTTGTAGAAGCAAAAATGTAAAGGCATACCTGGTATAGATATAAATCTCCAGTATCTTCGATGAGCTCTATCTGCACCCAAGTAAATCATCATCTTATCATCCCTCGATGCTTGCTGCAATTCCTTTAATTTATTTTCATATTCCTCTTTTTTCTTTTCTTCCTCGTAATTACCACGCGTGATCTTTTTCGGTTTCGGCTCTTCATCCTCAAGTTTTCCTTCCTTCTCGCGTTCTCGCATCCTTTCCTTCTCTTCCTTCTCCTTTTTCTGTTCAGCAAGCAAGAACAACTTCAATTCCCTTTTCGCTTGATGCAACTTATCGTATCGCTCCTCGATTGCATCGCGTATCGATGCGAACGTAAGCAACTGGTTGATCAGACACGTGACGACCTTTATTTTGTCGTCCAGCTCAAACTCGCAGACATTTCGATGGCCCAACAATCGCAAAAGGTAGCCTTCGTTTAGCCTCAAAAGAAGAGCTGGCTCATCGTAATTTGTATAGCCACCTACACAGTGTTTTTATAAAAAGTATAACATTAATAAATAACTTTGCATAAATAACATTAATAAATAAAGCACATTAATATTAAATAAATCATATGTACCCTTTTGAGAATATCGCCATTTCGAAGCGGCTTCGCTTATGCGTCCTCCGGAGCTCAATAAATGCTGCCTCAAAATCTCGCTCAGCGTCACATGATCTAACGTAAGTTCCGACAATTTACATCCCTGATAAGCGGGGCACCATCTAGACGCCAGCGTAGCGAGCTTAATGGCTTTTGCCATCGACGATGCATCCTCGTAAGCACTGTCGTCCAACAAGGTAGACGCCTGCGCGTCAACTTCATTGTCCTCTCCAGCTTGGTATTTAAATATGTTTGACAGCAACAATTGTAAAAGATCACTCCAAGGACCGGACGCTTCTTTGGTCAATAATGCCTTCTCCACCAATTCCAAATTAAAGCCTCCCGGAAAGTATACGGGCACCTCTAATTCTTCGTTGAAGAAGTCGAGAAATTCCGATATCATAGCGAAATCTCCGAACTTCTCGTTTGGTATGTTGCACTTGATAACCGTGGGTTCGGGAATTGGACTGAGATCCTCACAATCGAGATCTTCTCTCGGTTTGTTCCACTGTTTCATGTACGCAGCTAAAGCCGCTAACTTTTGCTTCTTCTCCTTTTTACGCTCGCTCTTTAGCGCCCTTTCTTCTTTACGTTTCGCTTTCTCTTCCAAGGCTTTTGCCTTAAGCTCCTCTTTGAACTTACCGTTCATCCTGTTAACAGAAAAACATTTCGGAGATATTAACAAAATATATTAAATAGACACGTCTTTTGAACAGCGCTTTCTTTTTACCTTGGCTTCCGAAATTTCTTCACCACACCAGTATCATTCACTTTTCTCAGAGGATCCGCTTTCTCTACTCTTTGTTTCGACACATCCGAGGTGAGAAATTTATCTATGGATTCTTGTTTTTGCTTAACGGATCTCTTTACACGCACGGTAAAATCTGGGAGTGTTCCAGCAAATATGGTATCAAAACGCACTTTGTTAATCCCGTACTTTTCCAAAACGCTTTCCTGTTACGACAATAAGACAAAAAAATATTATAGGAGCATACAAATCGTACTGTTAGATGTTCATAATTTTATATCAACGATTATTAACCTTGACAACCCATATACCGCTATCATTTTGTTCACAGAGTTGACGAAGAAATATCTTGTTACGATCTCTGCTGTAATGTTGCTTTCGTCTTCTGACCTGAGATGCTTCCACTATCATAATCTCACTGACGTCAGAATCTCCGGAATCTAATTGCTCTACCTCGTAACGAAATAATTTCGCTGGTGGATGATAATAATGTTCTTGTAGACTTCTGAAACAGCCGCACAGAATAGAAAATAGAAAGCTAATGAAATGGTTTTATAAAACCCAATTGACTTATTTACCTGCCATTTTCATTCATATATGCCTTAACTTGTTGTTCCGTAGGTACGATAACTTGAAGAACGTGGCAGTTACACCAGGCCTCCTCGGTAAAACTAGCCTCTACCATTTCTCCTACAAAGTAGCGATCTCTCGCAAACTGGTAAACGTCTTCAATCATCTCGTTAAAAGAAGACCTATTTGTTTTACTAGCAAGATACAATATGGGGATTCGCAGCTAAAAAATGTGAAATAATATTTTAATATAATATACATATTAATGTTAATACAATATAGATTACATAAAATTATAACTGTACCTCCATTGGAAATTCTTTCAAGCTCCTCTTCGCATTTTCTTCGCATTGTAAAGCTTCCTCAAATGTCATATTAGTCTTACCTGTGATGCTGCACGACCATATAAGGGAGTTACACAAGATAATCCGCTCGCAAAATTCACTGTAACAGAAAATACATAATGTTCATTGCAATAAAATTTATACAGAATAAATTGTTTCATTTATATGTGCATATTTATTTTTAATTAATTCTAACTTACTAAATCTTCATATGTAAGTTTTAAAAAACAAAATAAAAGTTAATTATTAAATTTATTTAAAAATGAAAAAATAAATAAATATATGTGTTTATATATAATTAAGTGTATGTACAGTTTACAAAATTTTAATTTTTATATAAAAAAATTGTTTTATTTTATATATATATATATATATATATATATAAAATCATTAAAATAATATAGAAATTAAATTATGCTTAAATAACAGTGTGACAACTAATAGCATAGTAAAACCCATTTAATTTATTAGTAATATAAATTAGCAATGTATAAGTCTACTTGATTACAAACTTATTTAATGTTTATATAAGCTATATGGATGTAATAGATTTCACAAGAAACAATGATTTGTTTATGTTGATTATTTATTATGTGACAATCGTTAATACAAATTATATAAATGCAAATTCTTAACCAATTAGAATACTTGATCGGATTGAATTGATTTTCAAATAGAATTGTGTTCAGGGAGACTTTGACCAAATTATCTAGAATTAACTTAACCGACAACTAAAACTCGTTGAATATTACGACTGACATAATGAACGATTTTTTTTTTTTGTAATACGTAAGAGGAAAGATTGTATCAGGAACGAGTACAGTCAGGAATTCTTGCAATTCTATCGTTCGAATTAATTGCCAATTAAATTAATCCTTTTCTACTCCTATATCCATTTCTAATACAAATTAATTTTAATTTCGGTTTAACTTTTCGTTCTGAGTATGTCTCAAGAAGACACGCTTCGGTCTAACCTTAGAACCCAAGATCGTATCAGTTTTTGCGCAATCCAGCAAGCTCTCAGAACGGATAATTGGCGCATTATTTGCTCGGTAACGCGAGGCGAACCAGGCCGCTGCCCACGATAAACAATCGATCGCATTTTAATGCAGCAACGTATATCGGTCTCCCCGCGATCGTCGCTCGGCGATGCGAGACGCCGTCGACGCGGCGTAAACGCGGGCGACAATCCCGACGGGGCGAGAGAGATTTCCCCGGACGGAGATCGAGCGGGAGACCAAGTACTCCGCGGTCGGACCCAAAAATTTCCGCCGCCGCCGCCGTACTGCCCCGTGTCCGCGTCCTCTCTGCGAGGTACTTACTTGTAGTTCTTGAATATCTCGTTGGTAACCTCGCAGTGGTACACCTCGTCGTCGTCCCTGAAGTCCGAGGAGACGTGAAGCCGCTGGAACGGCTGTTTGCGTAGCAGCGGCATTTCGACAACGACAACCGCGACGACGACGAACAACCGCGACCGCGACTGCGACGGTCCTCTCTCCTTCTCCTCCTTCCTCTCTTCCTTCTTTCTCCTCTTCTTCCTCCGCCTTCCCGACGCGCCGCGAAGATCGGTGCCGCGGACGACTTACTCTCTCTCCCTCCCTCTTCTTCGCTCTCTCGCTCTCTCGCTCTCTCACGCGCGACGCACGCCAAGTGGCACAGGGCGATGGACGTGAGGCTTGCACCGGGCAACCCGCCGACGTCAGGCCGCGGGGCTCCTCGTCGGCGCCGATCGGCGATCCGGTATTATCGCGTAACGCAACCACGCGGCGACGAATCTCCCGGCGCGCCGTGGTAAGCTCATAACAACGACGAAACGCGGCAAGCCTACCTCGACGACGATGCCTGACCGCCGTCCACAGGCACACACACGGTTCAACAACGGCGCTTACACGCTCCGCACACCTGGGTCGCCGTCGTACGTACGTACTATACACGGCGCCGGAAGCCAACGACGAGAGTAGCTGTGCCTGTAGCACGCCGCCGTCGTTGCCAACTTGACGTTTCGCGTGGTTTCGCGCGCAGATCAGCCAGGCGCGCTCGCGCTCGAAAGAGGAGCGGAGCAGAAGCGGGAGGACGCAGCCGACGCAGGTGCGCTCCCGCCTGAACGCGGGCTCTCGGCGTGACATGATCCCGCCTTTTTACGTTCGATTCGAATCGGAAGTTTGATTGGCCGATTCGATCGGCCGGAAAGACGAGCAGGTTTTTTTTTATCGATGGGAGATGAACAACTGTTCAACGACAATTAATTACAAAATTAGTAATTTGAATGGTGCTCGCTTTTGTCATAGTTACGAATTGTGCAGAGGGCATAAAACTATTCCCGTACGATCTTGGCGCGGATTCATCAATTATATATATATCAGTCAAAGATTCGCGTGGGCAGTTTCCATGCATATGCGCCGTAATACGTCAAAAAAATATGCGCCAATCAGATACGTCTCTTTTTTTTATCGCGTGCTATGGCCACATTTACGACGCGTACGTTGAAATTATAAAAGAAATTTAATTTATAATTTTGAGCTGCGTAAACGTATGAAATGGGAGAGAATGTTTTTCTTTGTTGAATGCACAGATTAGAGAGCAAAATAATTTTTTCGATTCTATAATCGACTGTTAGCTGTCAGATTGTGTCAATAGACTGCAAAATACGAGCTTTAAGACGTTAATTCGATCTACAACAAGAATAATATAATAGTGAGCCTTTAAGCCTTTCGCTTTTATTTATTTCAATTGCCTGTTGTAGACTGAGTCTAATACAATTGATGTCAATTTTCCAAGCAAACTAATATTTATTGTCATGTATATGTATATATATGTATATAGGTATATACATATATATCTACCTGGGCTATAAATTTCTAATTAAATTTGCAGCCAATCAGCTGACTATAATAGCGTATACACTATACACACAGTATACAGTGTATGTATGTACATATACATATTTAATATTATTATATATATATATGTATATACATATATACATATATATATGTATATGTATATATTTATGTTTGAACTTCTTTATCATACTCTGATCAGAGAGGATCCTCTCTGCTCTGGTAAAAGGCAATCTTGAATCACAGGAAGTGCTGTTTCATCCATCTTGCTGCTGTGTGCTGCTATCTCTACCATACCAACATCACATCCGGTCAACATCCACTGCGACAGGCGACTGCACAGTGCACATGGCCGAACCTCGCCAAGAGTTCACGTGTGTTGAAATCTTTTACGACGCAGCGTACAGCGTAGATAGATAAAAAATATATGGTTTTTTAAAAATGGTAAGCACATAAGCGACAATTTCCGAATTACGCGAATTACTTATTGGACTGTGTGTAAATTCTAATTCTTCTCCACTTAACAATCTGCCGATGCGACGTGTCGGTACGCGAGCGTCGCAATTTGTTTTAGTTTTACACGTAAATAACGTCTAGATCTGAAGTTGGTTATAAATATTTTTCAAAACTTAATGTAAATTCCGTTCGCACGTTTTGGACATCGTTTTATGAACGATTACATATTTACGAATCTCGTAACTTCGTCTTAACCTTCAATTAATACAGGTTATTTTGCACACGATATTTATTTTGAAAATAAAATGACAACAATACGATAACAGAAATGATGATAACATCTAGCTGGCGTAGAGACTCGGGCAGACTGAAGGTGTTTAGAATTTGTACTGGAATAGAAAGATGATCATGATATTTTTATTTATAGAATATTACTATTACTTGATAATGCTAATTAAACTTCTTGCTTTACAGACGAAGCTTTTTGTTCTATTTGAACATGCCGCTGGCTACGCCATATTTCGCGTTAAAGAGTTCGAACAAATTGGAATGCTGTTACCTCAGGTGGAACAGTCCGTAACGGACCTGGCGCGTTTTCGCAGCATCGTAAGCCTCGTCGGATTTTCACCCTTCAAGACAGCCTTGTCCGCTCTGGAAAATATCAACAGTATCTCCGAGGGAATCGTAACGGAGGATCTGAGGCTCTTCCTGGATTCCAGCTTCGGCGGATTGACCAAGAAGGAAGTCGTGCTCGGTGTCGCGGATCCCAAACTCGGTGCCAGCATCACCGAGACCTTGGAGATCAGGTGCGACCATCTCAACGCCATACCCGAAATCACGAGGGGATTAAGGCTCCACTTTCACAATCTGGTGAAAGGCTTCACTTCCCAGAACTCCTCAATCGCACAACTAGGCCTCGGTCACAGTTACTCGAGAGCGAAGGTCAAATTCAATGTGAACCGAGTGGACAACATGATTATCCAAAGTATAACCTTACTGGATCAACTGGACAAGGATATCAACACGTTCAGCATGCGTATGCGGTACGTATATACCTCCTTGAATACCGGAAATAAAATAAGATTCTCAAAGATACTCGAAGGATAACGTTTTCATTTTGATTTTAGAGAGTGGTACAGTTATCACTACCCGGAACTTTCAAAGATAGTCCCAGAGAATTATATGTACGCAAAGGTCGCCCAGGTGATAAAAGACAGGACACAACTAACGGATGACAAGCTAGCGTTGTTGGAAGAAGTTGTCATGGACAGAGCAAGAGCCGAGGCCATCGTCAGCGGGGCCAAGTCGTCCATGGGAATGGACATAAGTCCAATTGATCTGATGAACGTCGAGATCTTCGCTGGACGCGTCATCGCGTTGGTGGACTTTAGGAAAAGAATGTCCGCGTATTTGACGGAGAAAATGGCGGGAGTAGCGCCGAATTTAGCCAGTTTGATCGGGGATCAGGTCGGCGCCAGATTAATAGCGCACGCCGGATCGCTCACTAATTTAGCAAAGGCACCGGCGTCTACCGTTCAAATATTGGGCGCTGAGAAGGCCTTGTTTAGAGCGTTGAAAAGCCGTGGAAAGCAGAATACGCCGAAATACGGACTTCTGTTCCACTCTACGTTCATCGGTCGCGCCGGCAAGAATAATAAGGGTAGAATTGCGAGGTACCTGGCGAACAAATGTTCCATTGCCTCTAGAATCGATTGTTTCGCGGAGACACCGACGAAGATATTCGGTGAAAAATTACGTCAGCAAGTAGAGGAGAGACTAATCTTCTACTCAGATGGCAACAGTATACCGAAGAAGAATCTGGAGGTGATGAGAGAGGCACTGGAGGAAACTGCACAAATGTTGGCTGCTCAGAAAAAAGAAGCGAAGGAGAAGAAAAAGAAACATGATAAAAAGAGGAAACATGATACACTCGAAAATGATACGCAAGAAAATGATACACATGAAAATGGCCACATCGAAAACGGCGAAGTGAATACGTCATTGCAGAAAAAGAAAAAAAAGAAAAAATCGAAATCAAATGACGAATAAAAAATTGCTTTCTATACATATATATACATGTATATATAGGGTGTCCAGAAAATTGCCCGCAATACTTCGGAAAGGGATTTGGGAAAGGAAAGAAAAAAAGCTATATAAACATAGGCGATTTTCTGGATATCCTGTATAAAAAGACACTATTTGCATACTATTTGCATTTTTTCTTTGTATCAAAATTGTTATTTAGCAGTGACGAGTTTCTGTATTCTCTGCAGATTTATACATTACAATTGCAAATACTTATAGTCTTTTTACAACAATACAAGAATATACGAAAATATAGAAATTTTTAATGAACAAACTCCTTCTATGTAACATTTATATTTCTGTTTGTATTTTTATATATTTTTGTATCACTGTAAAAAGACACTGTATTACAAAAGACGCTGTAAGAATATACCTATATTCTAAGGAAATAATAAAATGACGTAAAATTTACGAACAGAACAGAAAGATAATTTAATAGCTTCTATTTTTACTGCATTTTCTATTTATATTTGACAGGGACAGGAAGAGAGGTAATTATAATAATGAAAGTAAAGTAAGGAAATTCTCATAATATTATGTGTTAACACCAGCACCAATTATCATTTAATAACGATAAGTTTGTAAAATTATAGATATAAATACCTAAACAATAATTATACAATAAAATTATATTAATTTTAACGAAGTCTCAGAATCTCAAAAATCCACTGAGATTATTTAATTATTGGATCGCATATAAATATTATAAGCAATATATCATCCTGCCATGATTCATATCGGAGAATTAATAATCGTTGATTGATCAAATATAAATTTTATATGAATTCATATATTTTACACATCACATATTATATGTATATATATATATTTTTTTTTTATACGCGCGACTAATATTGATATATATTAGTACATTCCTCATAATATTTGGTATTCCAAATATTCATTACACAATAACATATTTATATAAAACGTATTAAAGATTTCGTTGCCATAAATTTTTACATGAATTTCAATTTTCAAGTTTTTTATACTTAATTTATAATTTGAGAATTTGTAGCGATATCAATTCAATAAACTTTAAGTGCCATAAACAATATTATCGCGCGTAAATAATATGTATGCTGTAAATTTTTAATGGAGAATGATAATTTACATTTGCGTAAATATTGCAGAATTTTCGCCAGCTATAAGGAAACTAATTTTCAAAAGGTGCGATCTCGCGATTTGTGTTAACTTTGAGTTTTACAAAGGGTTTTATAACACTAAACTGTACATGCACCCCCGTAATAATAACGCTTAACAATCGGTTGATGGATTCTCTATGCGTTGAATTGACTAAAACAACTTTTCTCTTTTTTATATATTTGTACAATATATATTTTCATATTTGAAAAATATATCTCCCTGCCTATGTTGTTAAAACATCTTGCCTCATATAAAATGCTCAAATAATGGAAACTGTAAAGGGCCCCACATTTGCCTTTACATAATTCAGTCTCTGGTACTCGCATGAAAGTTCTTCATCTAGCGTACATGATCTCTTTGAGTCAATTTTACAGAGCAAAACTAAACAATTTGGATAATATTCGACATGATACTCCTTTCTATATATAATTACAGAATGGCTTCTATTATATCAATTGCTTCTGAGATCTCTGCAATCTCTCGTAACACTAATACTACATTGTATACTTTTTTTTTTTTATAGAAATAGATAATAAAAACCATTCTTATAACATGTGTATAACGTCTAGCTTTGCCACTGAGTTTAATTTCAACTTGTGAATTTTTGTCTGCGTATTGCTGTTAAAAATCGAAAGATAAATGCCAAGCATCTCTCTTTTCTTTTTTTTTAGTCAACATATATACATACGATGCATATACATATAATTTCGGTAAAAATTCTTTATCATGATAAAAACTAAACTTTTCTGCGACAAGTGATTTAACATATCTTCAATATCATGCAGCAAAGATAAACTAAATTAAAAACAACAACGTGTGATGTGAATATGATTATTATGTATAACACAATAATATATTAATTATTACTGCCTAGAATTAATTACGATGTGATGATAATTCCATAAACATTTACGTCGAAGGATATGCATTATTTCATTGTTAGTAAGATATAATCAAATGCTAATGATCTTTCGCCACTCAGTTTACGATAATTGTATAATATCATGTAATAATAAAGATTACAATTTCTTTTAATTCATGTTAAAAGTTTACGCAATCAGCGAATCCTCAAACAATTTACATTGGATTGTAACTGCGTTATGCGATTGCAGATATTGAATCGATCACGAAAATTTGCTCACGCCAATCTTGCGCATAGATTCAATTCAGTTTTTCAATGATAAAAGAAATGCTAAAAATACATCGTCCTATCTACATTCCTTTCTACAGGAAAGAGAATCAATAATCGATTTATCCTGCCGTAATGATCGTAAGAGGGAAGCACTTATTAATAATATCCACTAATGATTCATTTTCTCCTTACACAACTCCTACGCTGCCATCAGTTTTACATACACGTTTTTTTTCGTTTGACTACCGCAATTATTTTTCGCATAGTCTATTAATTATAAAAGCATCAACTTTTCCATTGTGTCCCATGTTCCAGACAATGTACACACGATGGCAAGTAAATGCGACTAATTAGATTATGCTCTCCCGAGTTCTTTTTCACAGTATATGTATATATTTTTATGATACATTTTATCTATAAGGCATAATCCCAATTCTTCCAAGATTAATATACATTATGTATAAAATACACACACGGCAATAATTCCTGCCAAATTTGTTCCCGCATAATACACAAGTAGTATGACGCATATTACAGAAGTTACACGCATTTTACGAGTTACAGGAATGCTGCTTGTCGTCGCCTTTGCGTTAATCATTGGCTTACAATTAGACAGACTATATTAGGCTGCCTCAAATGCCTAATAATTAGGGAAAATGATTGATTTCCTCGTATGTTAATTGTTATTATTGTACATTATTTGCATTTATGCATGTTTTTTTACTCTGCATATTGTTTTACATATATATATATATATATATATATATATAATATTTATCTACGTATATTCAGAATGACCTGTTTCACGTGTTTCAACGTTCCTCTTTCCTTCTATCTGAACATGTCGCATGCTATCGAACTTTCTCCAACTTTGAAAGTCTTAAGAACAGAATGAATCACTCGCTGTCTGACTATAATGGTACTAACTACTTTACGCGACGCATGCGACGCTTAGATACAGATCGTCCGAGTTTATGCGGGCACGTGTTATCAGGTTGAACTCAAGGTTGTTAGGTATGACAGATCATTATCTCGCATCGCGCGAGACATCGCCAAATTGCTCCGAACTTAGAAAGTTAAATTTCCATCGATATTCCGCTGGCCGAGGAGGTTGCGGGGGGACGTCTTAATAAGGGACAATTAATAACCGGGGGACAAGACCGTACCATTGTGGGCCGACTTAACGACCTCCGACTGAATCAGACTGATGCCACCAAAGTTCGACCCCGTGTACCTCTCTCTCGAGGCGAACTTTTAATTGGCATCGTAAATAATTCGGAAACTTTGCGGATTTCCCTGCCTTCGTTACGGTGGCCTGAATACAGAATTAAGTTGGCATTAAATTAATACGACTTTCGCGTTGAAGCTGGAGATCGG